GCTGGTCCTTTTGCTGGTTTATGCTGGTCCTTTGCCAGCACATGAACAGCATAAACTAGCAAAAAGACCAGCATAAACCAGCAAAGGACCAGCTTAAACCAGCATCCCAGCGTCAAAACATACCTAACCCGCATATGCTGTTTTTTCAACAGGGATAAACTGAGATGTTTCTTTCTCCTCCTCCTGGTTCGATGTATTTTCAGACTGCCTATTTAAAACAAGACAGGACACTAATACATTACGCCTAATACAGGGATCTGCATTACAAGGTAATTTCTGTGAAATTGTTGTGTAGAATTTTTTTAGAATGTTTGCTTTTTATTTTAACATTTTTGGCTTAATTTTTCTGAAAAATAAAGTTGAAAGTTGAAGCATCTCGAGTATGTTTTATAATGCTTTTTGATGTAGAATTTTTTTATTTGATTTATTTATATAGGCTATTTATTTATTTGTTTTATAGATAGAGCATCGCCTTAACAATAAGGTCGTAGATACATATTCAGTGCATTTTACGGCCTCCAAATGTAAAGGTGAGTTTTTGAATAATTTCGCGTTACAGATTTCAACCACTAGATAGAGCCCAAGTACAGCGTCACATCTGCAATTGATTATACAAACCAGATGTGCAAGGTCTGTCTGTGAAAAGTACTCTTTAAAAGTCCTATCAAATCCACTGCCCATATATTTTTGACTGCACATTCTTCTTTTAATAAACATAGCTTAAGTACACTTTACATAACGACTGTATCACACAAGACTGAACACGAGGCGAGGAGAACAGTCAAACTGAATCATTCATGAACCCAAAAATAGGCCTTCGAGGTAATGATTCAGAGTGTGAGATTATGGGTCCAGTATTGGTGTACTGTGGGAGCTAATAAACACTTCTTACCAGTGCAGACTATCTCTAACACTACTGTGAATCTCCTTCTTTAACGTCATGAAATGTAAACTATTGTTGCAATGAGAATTATTGCAAAAGATTACTGATCTATAGAAATGATTAGATATCAGTTGTTGTGGACGCCAAATGGCTCGTTATCAAGAACCGGTATATAAGTCAAGTCAAGTCAAGTCAAGTTTATTTGTACAGCGCTTTTCACGATACAAATCATTGCAAAGCAACTTTACAGCAAATTACGTTTCTACAATATTTAGTGGTAGCTTATCAGTGCTGACTGTCAGTTAATGTACATATGGCAGAAATGTACGGAAAAATCAATTTAAGACGTAATAAAACAGACGATGAACACTATTAACAGCAATTATTATATGATGCAATTTAGATAATTTAGAAGTTTCATCTGGTCTTGTTGAGATAAGTGTTGTGAGTCATTATTTTAGGTTTTTTTTCCCCCATTAATCTCCTCTTAAGGAGTTGTTGAGAGCACAGTCTCACTCCTCCAGTACAGGATGACATGAAGTTTGTCTTGACAGATTATGTCATGTTGACATTGTGCATAAACCTGCCCCACCCGTCTGCAATATTCTGGTAAATTCTTTTATTTATCTTTCTTTTTTTTCTTTGTCTTTTTATTCTTTATTGAATATCTGTAATAATAGTATAGGCTACATGTTCTCTATTCACTATTAATACACTATCCTACTATTATGTCTACAACTAAGACTCATTTTGTCTGAGAAGTTGTATTTAAATGGGTATATATATATATATATATATAATGAAAACTTCACACTTCAACTAATGATATTGTTTCGGTTTCAAATATGTACTACAGAGTCTGAATAGGCCTACAGATCCATAAACAATCAATTTATATCTATAAATACTCAAAAAAAAAAAAAGCTACGAACAATAGTTTGTTCATGACTTCTGAGAAACCCAGCCTTGACTGATTGGCTCCCCGGTGACTTACTTCTGATTGGGCTCTGTTACGCATTGGGTTTGATTAATTTGAGCGAATCGGTTCACTCGGGCGGTTCATTTCAATAAACGGATTGTAAAACGATTCGCCGGTTTGTAAAAGTAAATTTGCTAACTGTTTTCGCCATAATTTTCGCCAAACATTCCACCCAGTGGAGTCACTAGGGATTCTGGGCCTATTGCACAGAATTTGTTATGTGGGGCCCCCTCAAAATCACGTTCAGTTAAAGTCTGTGTGTATAGTCTATAGGCTACTAATTATGTGCCACTGTAAACCTAGAAAAATTAGAATTTAAATAAGTGTTGACAGCGTAATTGGTTGTAATATGTGAAAGTTGTAGTCTGTCGCTTTTCTGTTAATGTAGGCTATATGCAGAGTTTGGTGGAGAGATTCACAAACGCTTGCGAATCTGTTCAAACGAGTCGTTCAAAAGAATCATTTCGCTCGTGAATCAAACACCTCTACTCTCTCTCTCGCCCTCCTGCTTTCAGTTCAGTCATGAGTTTCCAGTAAGAAGAGGCGTGTGATGTGAAATGAACATCGTTGTACTTTTCTACATCATCTTGAAGGATTAATTTTACCATAACCGTCCGATTTAAACTCTATTGATGGATTTCCACTCTAAACTTTTTGTCAAGTTCGGTCTATTATTTATAAGAACTGGATAAGAAAACCTGCGCACGTTACTACTCTTATGGGAACGGACTTTTAGTGAGGTAAGCAAGTTTCCCCAAACCTTTTCTTTCTAGAAGATGTAACTTAGACATTTTAAACTTTCACACAAGGTATTTTTGGTCTGTAGTGTATCTATAAAGTGCTACATGAATGTCAAAGAGAAGCTGAACCAGTAGAACCAGTTTGAGTTCCGGGCAGCTGGAAAGTCTCCTCTGCTTTCTGGTTCCTCACAGAAAAACACCAGGAACCAGCAGAAATGGCAGGAATAAACAGCTCAAACATGAAAACTCTGGAGGATTTGACTCTGGACTCTGGCTATGGAGCAGGGGACTCGTGTAAATCCTTAAGCCTGTCGTCCTCCAAGTCAAACTCGCAGGCGTTCATGAACACCCCTCACCGGGGGAACTGGTGGTACTACTCCGGCTCCATGAACAGCAGGAACAACAGCTGGGATACAGTCAACACGGTGCTTCCAGAGGATCCAGAGGACATTTTCTCCAAGTTCCCACGCTTACCGGAGCTGGAGGAGTTCCCGTGGATGGAGGAGGACGTGGGGAGGGTCGTGCGTAAAGGCGCGGGGAAGGGCGCCTCGCTCTCCGCGGAGGCTGTGCGCAGACTGGCCGCCCTGATGCGCAGGGCGCTGATCCGCATCTCCAGAGAGGCGCAGCGGCTCAGTGTCATGCACTGCAGATGCACCAGGTTCGAGGTCCAGAGCGCGATCCGTCTGGTGCTCAGCTGGGCGCTGGCGGATCACTGCGTCTCGGCCACTGTGAAGGCCATATCTATGTACAACAGTTTCAAATATGTACTACAGAGTCTGAATAGGCCTACAGATCCATAAACAATCAATTTATATCTATAAATACTCAAAAAAAAAAAAAGCTACGAACAATAGTTTGTTCATGACTTCTGAGAAACCCAGCCTTGACTGATTGGCTCCCCGGTGACTTACTTCTGATTGGGCTCTGTTACGCATTGGGTTTGATTAATTTGAGCGAATCGGTTCACTCGGGCGGTTCATTTCAATAAACGGATTGTAAAACGATTCGCCGGTTTGTAAAAGTAAATTTGCTAACTGTTTTCGCCATAATTTTCGCCAAACATTCCACCCAGTGGAGTCACTAGGGATTCTGGGCCTATTGCACAGAATTTGTTATGTGGGGCCCCCTCAAAATCACGTTCAGTTAAAGTCTGTGTGTATAGTCTATAGGCTACTAATTATGTGCCACTGTAAACCTAGAAAAATTAGAATTTAAATAAGTGTTGACAGCGTCATTGGTTGTAATATGTGAAAGTTGTAGTCTGTCGCTTTTCTGTTAATGTAGGCTATATGCAGAGTTTGGTGGAGAGATTCACAAACGCTTGCGAATCTGTTCAAACGAGTCGTTCAAAAGAATCATTTCGCTCGTGAATCAAACACCTCTACTCTCTCTCTCGCCCTCCTGCTTTCAGTTCAGTCATGAGTTTCCAGTAAGAAGAGGCGTGTGATGTGAAATGAACATCGTTGTACTTTTCTACATCATCTTGAAGGATTAATTTTACCATAACCGTCCGATTTAAACTCTATTGATGGATTTCCACTCTAAACTTTTTGTCAAGTTCGGTCTATTATTTATAAGAACTGGATAAGAAAACCTGCGCACGTTACTACTCTTATGGGAACGGACTTTTAGTGAGGTAAGCAAGTTTCCCCAAACCTTTTCTTTCTAGAAGATGTAACTTAGACATTTTAAACTTTCACACAAGGTATTTTTGGTCTGTAGTGTATCTATAAAGTGCTACATGAATGTCAAAGAGAAGCTGAACCAGTAGAACCAGTTTGAGTTCCGGGCAGCTGGAAAGTCTCCTCTGCTTTCTGGTTCCTCACAGAAAAACACCAGGAACCAGCAGAAATGGCAGGAATAAACAGCTCAAACATGAAAACTCTGGAGGATTTGACTCTGGACTCTGGCTATGGAGCAGGGGACTCGTGTAAATCCTTAAGCCTGTCGTCCTCCAAGTCAAACTCGCAGGCGTTCATGAACACCCCTCACCGGGGGAACTGGTGGTACTACTCCGGCTCCATGAACAGCAGGAACAACAGCTGGGATACAGTCAACACGGTGCTTCCAGAGGATCCAGAGGACATTTTCTCCAAGTTCCCACGCTTACCGGAGCTGGAGGAGTTCCCGTGGATGGAGGAGGACGTGGGGAGGGTCGTGCGTAAAGGCGCGGTGAAGGGCGCCTCGCTCTCCGCGGAGGCTGTGCGCAGACTGGCCGCCCTGATGCGCAGGGCGCTGATCCGCATCTCCAGAGAAGCGCAGCGGCTCAGTGTCATGCACTGCAGATGCACCAGGTTCGAGGTCCAGAGCGCGATCCGTCTGGTGCTCAGCTGGGCGCTGGCGGATCACTGCGTCTCGGCCACTGTGAAGGCCATATCTATGTACAACATGAGCGCTGGAGAGCTCTTGCGCAAGGGGAAGTCAGCCCGGTGCGGGCTCGTGTTCTCCGTCGGACGGTTTTTCCGCTGGATGGTGGACACTCGGATCGCGGTGCGCATCCATGAGTACGCGGCCATCTGCCTGACCGCGTGTATGGAGGCTCTTGTGGAGGAGGTGGGCGTGCGCGTGCTGATGGCGGAGAAGGAAGGCGCGACGCCCGGCTGCGTCCTGACAGCAGAGGCGCTGGAGGGGGTCGTCAATAATGATGCCGAGCTTTGGGGGGTCCTGCAACACTATGAGCATCTCATCTGTGGGAAGAACGCCAATGGTAGGTACTTTACTGTTGTTGTTGCTTAAACTGTTTCACTCATCAGTTCCTTGTGGCCTAGTGGTTAGATTTGGCTGAAGGGTAGTTGAAACCACACAAGGGTTGATCCGTCACCATTGTGCACTTAGACACCACAAGTTGCTTCAAGGGGAGTATATATGTACTTAAATCACTTTGGAGGGAAGTGTCATTTTCTGCTAATTGTATTTGGACCATGCTTATTGATAACTATAAAATTAAAACAATAATGAAAAAGAAGAAACAGAAACACGTTTATTTATAATAAAATGTATTTAACACTATATTTAAAATAAATTTTATTTTATTTCAGCTATTTTTTTAGTTTAAGAAATGCTAAAATAACTCAAACTAAATAGACATAAAATAGACATAAAAAAACTATAATTAAAATATCCAAAACAAAATTACTAAAGCTTTAACTGAAATTAAAATGAAAACGGAACATATCTAAAAATTTAATTGAATTCAAAATATTACCAAAATGTATAATAGTGTACTAAAACAGCTTATTTTATTCAAGCTAGTTGTCAAGGTAACATTTTTCATTTAAATTTAGTTTAAGCATTAAAATAACTAAAACTAAATAAATTAAAAAGTAAAACTATATAGACATATTTTAAAAACACTAACAAAATTGAAAAAAAAAAAACAATATTACTAAAACTTTAAAAGTAAAATGAAAACAGAAAATATAAACATTAAATAGAATTCAAAATATTAACAAAAAATTATGGTAGCATATCAATGATATTAAAAGAGCTTTTTTATTTCAGCTAGCTAACTCAATATAATACGTCTCATTTTAATTTAGTTTAAGTTGACGTATTAAAATGAGCAAAACTAAATAAACGGACTGAAAAGTAAAACCATACGGGGAAAAAACCAATAAAGATAAAAAACAAATAAAATTACTTAAGTTAAAATGAAAACAGAAAATTCAGAATACGAACAGAAAAAACAGAATTCAGAATAAGAAGAAAAACTATAATATTATATCAGTGATAATAAAATAACACTGATTTGGACACTTAAAAATGTATGAATATCATTAAAATATCTACCTTTACCTAAGAATCTAAGTTCATTATTTTAAAGAGAGATAATCAAAATCAAAATATTTCATAATAATGAGTTTAATTGGGTTTAAGATTATACAATGATACATTAACTGGTTATGTGTTTATAAATGTTAGTGGAACATTAGTATTTATTGCTGTTAATGTGATGAACTTTTGGTAAAATACTGGCACGATGTTACAAAATTACAATTTGGTGTGAATGATCTGTACTAAAATACTGAATCTGCGATCTGTTGGTAGACCCACACAAATGTTGATAGCATGTTGGTGTTTGCTCTGAAAGATGAAAATGGAAATCAATTTCCAGAAATCACAGGTCAATCACGTCATTCTGCCTGTGACAGGTCATTACACGCTTCCTCTTCTCCAGCTGGGAGAATTACCCCGTGCTGCCAACTTCTGCATCATCTAGGTTGCATTTTCATTTTGATTTGTCTGTGGTTAACCAGGATCTAGCATGAGGTTTTCACAAACATTCACAAGCGTAAACCGATCTTAACTGATTGACCAGGCAAAGAGAACAAACAATATCTATAAAAACAGCATGCGGTTCTGATGTAGTACTGTCCTGCTTTCGCCACCATTACTCATAATTTCTGTTTGCTCTGTCATAAAGACATTCAGGACAAATGCTTTGATTACTGTCTTATGTTGGAGGCTGACATGAGAGTTTTGACATGCATATAACACAGATTTTTCACTTATTTGATGACCCATTAAAGGAAAATGGTAAGTTTGATTGCTTAGAAAAGTGTATTTCTTCAACAAACCTCACAATTTGAGGTATTATTCACATTTGTAGCAATGGTGCAGGACAAGGTGAGTGAAAGCCATGTATAGCTAATAATAATAGTAGGTATTGTTTAAATATTTGCTGTACTGTATATACAATATGATAGTTTAAGGTGAAACGGGGGTATCATGGTTAACTAAAACAAACAATAAATAAATACATAACTTTTTGTTACTTGAAATTAAATAAGTTTATATATTTCAGGTAGTTGCAAAGGCAGCATTGCTCATTTTAATTTACTAAATGTACTAAAATAACTACAGCTAAAACTGAAATTAAAATTAATAAAAACTATATAGACATTTATAAAAGTAAATAAAAAAATAACAAAACCACAAAAGTACTAAAACTTTAACTAAAAATGAAATTGTTAAAATTTAAAATATTAATAAATTAATAAATAAAACGTTCAATTGTACTAAAATAACACTCTGGTGAAATTTGAATCAGTTCTCAAACATTTCTATATAAAATTTTGAGTTGAAGCACTGAAATGTTCCTACAGTGTAGCCTAGGGTGCGTTTACACGATACCATTTTCAACTAAAAACAGAAAACTTGTTATGTGTTTTGGTTGTTCATTTACACGACAACAGCGTTTTGGGGGCATGAAAATGCAAGCTTTTGAAAACCGGTTTCAAAGAGCAAGTTTTTGAAAACAATACCATTATCGTCTCCGTATACAAAAAATGGTGAAGTCATGCGCATGTGTATTATGTGTTTAGTCTATAGGTTTGGCCGCGTAGTGTTTCTGTACAAAGTGACATCGCCAACTACTGGCCTGGCATGAATATTACAGCATTTTTAGTCGTATCTGTGTGAATGGGGATCGTTTTGATGTGGTCGTCTGTATGTGAAACGTTTCAAAAACACAAAGGAAAAACGTTTCCGTTTTTAGTACATTGAGATGCTAATTGATTTCAGCTAGGCTACAGAATTAATAAGTGCTTCGAGTCCAGCTACTGACATTAAAAAGACTTCCATGACAATACTGGGGCAGTGGAAAGACTTTATTAATTAAAATCAGAGGAGTGTGGGTACAATATTTAGGCTACGCTAACAAAAAGCTCTTTTTTGGCACGGGTAGTCAGGATCTCAGCTCTGCATAATCCTTACACAGCTCACTTTCTCTGGGATGCCATGCAGGCATCAAATTAGGTCGGTCCATAAAGACGACTCAGTGGATCAATGTGCTTTCAGG